CACCACAAACTTGGGTGTTTTACTATCATTATTTTTTAATTTTGTTTTTGAGACAGGCGTTACTATGTAGCCCAGGCTGGCTCAAACTCATAGAGATGTACCTGCCTCTGGCTCCCAAGTGCTGAGATTAAAGGTGTGCTCCAGCATTCCCAGCCTCTGGGTGATTTTTTTTTCATGGCTGGATCTGGGCAGCTACTGCATGTGGTAGCATGCTCTTCTTAGCCCATTTTGTAAATGGGAAACCGAGGTCGGGGAACTCACTCAGTGTCACACGCCAGCAGATGCCAAGTTGTGGGCTTAACCCAGAGTTGAGTTTGTTACACTACAGCTTCTTAAGGGTTTGGGGGCCTTAGGTTTGTCCCAGACCCTTCAGCCCTGGCCCAGCAGGGCCCCCGTAGCCTGCAGTCAGGAGTGTAGCAATCTGCCACCCAGACTGGGTAGCCTAGGTGTGCTTGAAGGCCAGTGGAGGGCCCCACCTTAGGCAGAGACCACGAATCCCAAGGGAGTTCTGAGTTCTGACCACCACGCTAGGAATCTTAAAGCCGTGTCTGGGGACCATGGTGTGGCACCTGTGTTGGGGTGGGGGTGGTCAGTTTGAAGAAGGCAATGCCTGGCCAATTTGGACCAAGGAGACATCTAGTGGCCAGTAGGAGACGTGCAGCCTCTTAATAGGTGCCCTGGGTCTCTCAAGTACTTTGGGAACTCATAGGGGCATAAGACCTTGTGCCTACTCCAGGCCTGGGACTCAGAGGACAGAGAGTCCGTCCTCTGGTCCCTCCTCATCCTCAAAGCAGGAGGAGAGTTGACCTGGGGTCAGGGCAGGGGTGAGAGTTAACAGGAGGCCCTGCTCCATCACTGTTGGTGAACAATGAGCCATCACCACCCTAATTAAAGATGTCATTACAGCAAATGCACCCTAGCCTGAGAATGGATGAAGTGGCAGGAAGGCACCTTGTGACCAGCAGCCAGTTACTGCTCCCATGAGCTCCCCCTTGGAGCTGAGAAGCCAGACTGACTACAGGGCTCCTGGGACATCCAGACAGGGACTGAGGCTGCAGCTGGGAATACAGACAAGGACCAAGGTCTGCACTCGAGGATCAAGGTTGGTCAGTAGATCTTGGGCCAGGGCCCCAGCAACAAGGGCCCTTGCAGTTGGAAGAGGGGAGTAAGATCATTACAAGCCCAGCTGAGAGCCCCCGGGGAAATCGAGGGTATAGGAGGCCCCAAGGGCTGTTAGGAATTTCTGGGAACACATGCTGGGGGGATCTGTATCTAGGCTCTTGACTAGGCCCAATGGGGTGTATTCAGTGACCAGGCGAGGGCAGTGAGCCCGCTCATGAGAAAGCACAGTAAGGCTCTATTGGGCCATGTTGGCCTTTGGTCTGACTCAGACTTCTGAGACCACAGCAAAGTGTGGTAGGGTTGGGGGTCTCTGGCCACCTGAGTGAGGAAGCGGGGGATTCCACTGACCAGCCTGGCTTCTGTTGTTTCCTCCTTTGGCACACCAGGCCCTCGATACCCATCACTCCTCCCTTGGGTACAGGACACTGGTTGTCCCTAGGTGTACTGAGACCCTGTTTCTTCTCTTGAGGGTTCTAAGGCCTATTTGGGGCCCCACCTCATTCAGATACTAGGAAACCTGAGGGCAGGGTAAGGTCATCTGAGATCAGCCAGAGCTGAGACTGTCTTCCTGGAGTTGGCAGCCTCAGCCTCTGTCCTATATGCTGTGGTGGCCCCTGGCCAGTTCTTCAGGGTGTGGGGACTGGCCCCAGGGGAGAGAGGATGGGTGGGGAGCCAGGAACTGGCAGGCAGGCAGAGGGGAGGGAGGGAGCCACTGACAGCAGGACAAATGCTTGTAATTTTATAACCAATCTCAGCATGTCCATGGGGGGCCGTTTGTGCCTCCACTCAGGACCAATCAGCCTGACAGAGCTATGAGTCTGCCTGAGTGAGTGTGAGCAGCTCCCCCCAGCGCCACTTACTGCAATCTCATTACCACCCAGCTTAAGGCTGGCCAGAGTGGAAGGCCCCACAGGAAAGGGGACCCAGCCCAGTGTCCCCAGGGTAAGGTCACAGGAGTCACGGGAGATCCAGGGGCTCAGGAGAGAGGGCTGGAAAGGACACAGGATCTTGGGTGATACTTAGCAAGCACCGTGGGGTACTGAACTAAATTTAGGGTGGAGACAGGGTGAAGGCCCTGCCCTCAAGGGGCTTGCAGTCTGTTCTTGGTGGTGGGGCAGATTGTTGACGGATGATCCTGGGAAAGGTGGGACAGACAGAGGTAAGGAGGGGACTGATGGACAAGGAAGGCAGGATAGAGCAAAGAACCAGACCAGCCAGTGTCGGGCCAGGGACTGAAAGAGGGGGGGAAGCAGGTGACCCTCCAGAGTGTGGAGCTTGGAGGGGAAATGCCACCCCATGGGAGACCAGAGTGGGGGAGGGTGACTAGCCAGTGGTGGATATTACAGGATGGCCTTGCTGGATATCTGGCTCTGGGGATGGCTGTGTGCCCATTAGTCTCTCTAATTGTCAAAAATCTAATTTAGTGTCTGGAGCCTGGGCCGGCCTCGGGTTAAATGGAGGGAGGCGGGCCCAGCCATAAATCTGCCCTCCCAGCCTGGGCTGGTGCTAATTCTGCAGCTAAGTGAGAGGTGGGGAGCTCTGGAGAGGGGACATCCTTGGTGACCCTGTGTGCCGGTCACCATGAGCCAGGTCACAGCCAAGTCCTGCTGTGGCAGGAAGGCTTGGCTGACTGAGGCCTAGCTGGGCCGTTCAGGGGGACGTGAGGGTCGCCTGACGGACAGGGCACACCACTCAGCGCTACGACGCTTGCCAGGTGTGTGCAAGGCCCCAGGTTCTGTTCCCAGTTCTCGCAATAGGAGTCCCACAGAATTCCCACTGCCTCCAGCCCCTCCACCTGGACCAACTCAGGGCCTATGGGGGCTCTACTCTTAGAGAGGGGACAGCCTCTTCCTGATAGAAGTCAGGCCATTTACAACATGAACCTTTTGGTGAGGAAACTTATGTGACTCTTGTCATCTACTAGGTGGTTGTTGGGGGTAGCCTCAGTTACGGGGACCACATGACATTTACTAGAGGGATGGAGAGTAAAGGGCCAGCTTCACTCGGGCTGTTTAGCCCCTCCTTCCCTGGAGGTGGTGCTTGGGGACCTGGACAGCTTCTCAGGGCCTCCTGTGGCCTGAGGTAGTGGTGGGGGCTCTGGACCTGGGCTTGGTAATGACCTCACTCCCCTCAGAGCCACTAATTGAAAGCAAGGGGCATGGTAGGCGCAGCAGGAGAGGTTGGGGACTGACAGGGTTTGGAGAGGCTCTGCTTCCATGGGGGAGGGAAACAATTTCTCCTGGCTTTGGCTCTATCTCACCAGGCACCCGCCCGGCCTCTCCTGCTGCTAACGAAGTGCCTTTAATTAGCAGCCTAATAAAATGCTCTTAATTGGCAAGAGCCAATCAGGAAGAAGCAAAATCTCTTCTTAGTCATTGCTGATGGCTGCCCAGCCCTAGGAAGAGCCTTAGGAAGGGTAGCCAGAGGGCAGTCTGGAGCAGACCATGCACCTTCACCTGGGGATACGGGCTGACTTGAAGCCTAGGCCCAAGGCCTTAGGCTTAGTCCGGGGCTTAGGAGTCAGACTGGTCAGGCCATTATCTAGTAGCTGCGGGTAGCTACAGTGTCTTTGCTGACCTTGCAAGTCTCTGGGGTGCTTCCTATTAAGGGAGATGTGGTTGTGGGCATGTAAAACCTGCACAAGACCAGATGAGCTTACACTACCATTCTCTAGGCTCTTAGTGGAAGCTGGTGGCATTGACCACAGCCCAAGTTCACCTTGGGGGCCACAGTGACTACCCAGGTAACAGACAATGAGGCCACAGCTGAGGGAAGGGGGAAGGACTAAATACACCATAAGCTTATAGTCTTTTAAGCCAAAGATGACTCAGTTCTGACAAGAGTCCTGCTTGGGTCCCCAGAGGGGAGGGCAGGGGGCTGTCCTTTTCTGCCACGGCCTTCATCTTGTGCTTATTTCTGTGTGTTGGTCCTGAGGAAGAGGTGGGGCTCACCCCCAAGTGGCTTGTGAGCCTCTCTGGCAGTACTCCGGAAGTCTAGTGAACTTGTGAATGAGTGACGAATGGAGTGGCCTCCATCCAACAGCAGGAGGAAAGCTCAGGTTCAAGGCCCAGGTGGGGGCTGTGGAGCGGCCCTCACAATGAGGAGTCACACAGGTCAGATCTCCCTGCGGCTTCACCACGAGCCAGCAGAGTGAGCTGCATGCGGGAAGTGTTTCTTTACATTTCAGTTAGGATTGTTTCTTCCCTTTTAAAGATAGGACCTTGCCATGTAGCCCTAAACTCGACAACCCCGTCTTGGGCTCCCAAGTACATCGTGTACAGAAGCTGGTTGGACCTTGGTTTTACGAGACAGGGTTTCTCTGTATTGTTTTGGAGGCTGTCGGTCCAGCCCAGCCTCGAACTCAGAGATCCGCCTGCCTCTGCCTCCCCAGTGCTGGGATTAAAGGTGTGTGCCACCACCGCCCGGCTTTTTTTTTTTAATAATTTATTTTTACTTATTATGTATACAGTGTTCTGTCTGCATGTATCCCTGCAGGCCAGAAGAGGGCACCAGATCTCATTACAGATGGTTGTGAGCCACCATATGGCTGCTGGGAATTGAACTCAGGACCTCTGGAAGAGCAGTCAGTGCTCTTAACCTCTGAGCCACCTCTCCAGCCCTTGGTTTTGTTTTTTGACACAGGGTCTCATTACATAGGTCTGACTGGCCTGGAACTATGTAGACCAGGTTGGCCTTGAACTCAGGAGATTCACTTGCCTCTGCCTCCCCAGTGTTGGAATTAATGGCGTGTGCTACCACAGCTGGCTCTTGATCTGGTTTTCTCATAAAAATAATCTACTATATAGTTCTTTTCTCTGTATACTGAAAACTCAGCCATTCTTATGATGTTGGGTCAAAGACAGAAGACACTTAGAAAATTCACTTTAATTTTGTATTTGTAATTTACTTTTCCCCCCCCAAACAGTTAAAAAACCAAACACACTCTATTACCATGGTCGTAGCTTGTGAACACATTGGTACATTGACTACACATCACTGTAACATAATCACAAAAATAAAGCAGTCAGCACTGGAGAATCTAGGAAACAAAGAGCAAACGACCAAAAGCACTCTGGCTCACACTCGTTGCCAGGGTTGCCTGTTCCCTGCTGGAGTCCACAGACGCCTCTGTAAGTTTGCCAGGGCTCAAGGATCACTGCTTTGGGAAGGTATTAGCTTTCTTGGTACCCAGAGGGCTAGCTTGTTGGACTTTTCCTTCAGCATCCTAGGGGATAGCTTAGGAGGGGAGGTGACACACACGGTCTCTGTCCAACTCCATCCACACTCAGAAACTAAGCCAGATGCTGAGCTGTTGGGAAGTAGGTATTTGGGAAGTCAGCGGCCTCCAGAAATTTCTGAGTACAAGCGCTGCACTATTTGGTTTTGAAGACAGGGCTGTCAGCAGCAGGCGTTTCTGGACAGCAATGCAGTCTCCACCTGCAGGCAGGCAGCCACAGTTGTGCTGCTTTGGTTTCTGTCCTCAGCTGTATTCCCCTGAGATGGCTGCCTCACTGGTGCCGCCTGTGCTCACTGTGCAGGGCTCTGCACTGCCAGAGGTCACCCATGTGTGTGAGTACTAGGGCTGATCCTGCTGGAAGTTTCTGCGTGCACTTCAAACCGCTGAGTTTAACCAAATGGGGATGGAGATTAGAGTGGATCAAAATTACAATGTAAACTGACCACTACCCCTCGGAACGCAGTCACAGGGACTGGGTCCCTGCATGCCTCATTTTACCCCTTTAGAACACACTTGTGCCTAGCCTATAGGCCTGCACTAATCCAGATGGGCCTGCCTCAGATCCAGGAGGTATCACATCTGACTCAAAAGGGAGAGGCTAAGACAATTAACACCACCATGGCCTAATTATTTTCAGTATTCTCCACTTTAGTCGGGCGCTAAACAAGTACATCATCTCCAGCCTCCAGGATGAGTGCGAAGCAGCCTTCTGCCCAGCTTTGGATCACTAAAAATAAATGTTTTTTTTTCATGATTTAGGAGTCTCAATGTCATTTCAGTTCTAAAACAAGCTATGAGGGCCAGACTTTATTACTTGTCAACAGAGTGCCAGACAGTCTCTGTCTCTAAAGTTAGGACAAATCAGAAAGAATTTAGCCAAGGGACAAGTGTAAAAGGCTTCCCATCCATAATTCACATCCACTTTCCAAATGTACTTCAAGGGAAAGGATGGTCCCAGCAGCAGCAGCACCAACAACATGTATTTGCACGTGTACACACACACACACACACACACACACACACACACACACACACACACAGCTGTGCACACTTACGCAGCAAGGCAGGTTGGCCTTGTCCAGACATCACCAGTGTGACACAGAGGTCACAGGGTACCCTGTCTCAGCAGTCTGTAGGAGAGGCCTTTCGAGCCACCATTGGAAAAGTAGATTTTAGTCAGAGAGAGAGAGAGAGAGGGAGGGAGGGAGGGAGGGAGGGAGGGAGGGAGGGACTGACCGACCAGCCGATCATGGGGACACTCAGAGCCACAGGACACTTGCAGTTTCTCGTCTACTATTCCTTTAAATGCGTTGAGATGTTCTTTGTTTCTCTTTTCTTTTTAAAAAGGTCAAACTTTACATTTATTCTCGCCCAGTTGGGGATTGGTGATAATCAATTCCCACTGAAATCATGCAGAGATGGTAAGTGGGGTTTACCTTCTCTGGAAATGAACTTCTACTTACCTGATTGTTTCTTCTACAATGAACTGGTAAATGACCCCCAGAGCTGAGAAATGTGATTCAAGTTTCTCAGACCACTTAACTTCATTCCCGTTTTCAGCAGCAGTAGAGGACAACCTGGAGAAAAAGCCTAACTGCACTAACGGCTTCCATGTGCAGGGTCCACCAGAGCCCAAGGACAGCGGGTGGCCGCACTTCCCCTTGGCTAACCTTGGGAAGGAGAGCAGTCCTGGCACCGAGGGTTTTGTCTGCAGAAGTACCCACACTGCCCCCAACCCCGGCGTCCAGCCCAGGGCCTGCAGACACAGGCAGATGCCCTCCTGCTCCTACTTCCTAGGCAGCACACAACTCAAGGGCCAGTCAAGGCAAGGCCAGCAGACCGTTTCTTGAAGCAGCTCCGGTCTCTTTACATCTGACTTGTTTTCCAGTAAAGTCCTTCACTATTAACAGTCAATGGGATGGACAAGGAGCTCAGAGTGGCTAACCAGATGACTGCAGCGTGTGGTGGTCAGGAAAGAAGAATGTGTACGCAGAGATATTTCTCAAACAGAACTTGAGACTGCAGTTACACAGGAAAAGGCAAACCGCACATGTGACCTGACTCAGCTTGTAATGGCATTCACTCAGGGGACATGTTGGGCAAGGGACAACTTGCAAACCAGAGAATGAAGACACTTTCTTCTCCCTCTCCTGCTGACATGAAGGTGGCCTGGCTTGTAGGTCACTTGTGACTGGCCCCCATTTCTGCTTTTATAGCAGCTGCTTCGGTTGGCTTTCTTAAAATGCATGGTTAGGAACAGCAAGGAGGGCCTGACTGCTTGGTTTCCAGGGAAAAAATGAGGCCATTCCGTGGCCTCGGGTCCAAGAGTATGCCTAAACCACCCCTTCACAGGCCCAGCATGTTGGTGGGGGGGTGAGTTCTCTGTTCAAGTGCTCCTGGGCTGGCCAAGAACCTTTGCGTTTACAGCCTGCTGGCAGAGGTCCAGTGCTGCCTTCCATAAGGCCAGCCGCTTATGTTTTCACTGACTGCCAGGGTTTCCTGGCTGGGGAAAGTGGACAGCAAAATAAGGCTCGGGGAAGGAAGGGAAGAGAAGGCAGTTCCCGCTTACTAGTAACCCTGTGTGCCAAACTTCACCCTGATCCCTTGTGGCAGCCTTGCCTTTCTGCAAACACTGGGTTTGGGAGAAGCAGAAGGAAGGGTCTGCAGTGCAAGGTTGGGTTGAGACGTTAGCCTGGCTGGCTGAAATGGAGGAGACGCTTTTCTCCCGGCCATGTCTTAGGCTGCTGTGCTCAGTCTGGGCAGTTATGGGTGCCTGGGTGCTTTCTGGCTCAGTCAAGGAAACAGATGTGAGCCACGGTACAGAGGGCAGTGGTGCCTGGTGATGGCCATTCCAGGCCTTTCTGCAGGCCCAGCCTTGCCAGTGATTTAAGATGAAGCACAATGCTTTTTATTACACATCTAATTGTTAATGAGAGGAAATGCAATCAGCAGCTCCTTTCCACTCTACATGGGACCGAGGAGACTGCTGAGTCCAGAGCAAACACAACCACTGATGGTGCCCAGGACATTCCTGTCCTTCCCCCTGGACACGGAGACGGAGGAGCGAGAAAGCTGCAAATATGGTGAATGTCATGTTCACGAATCCACCGCTGCCCCGGGGGTCACTGGCAGCAAAAGCCTGGGCTGGAAATTACAATACACTCAAACTCTTCCAAGTGTCACATTTTCTAGGTATCTGCCTCATGCTAGATGAGGACATTGCACACACCTTCTCAGGCTGAAGATGGAGGAGGGGAGGAGGGAGAAGGGAGGAGGGAGAGAAACCCAGACAGGAGAGGAGGCAGCAGGTACAGATCTTCCAGTGTGTGTCCCTCTCTCTTCTAAGGTGTGCAGGCAGCTGTCTCCTCCTACGCAGCGGCCTGGACTGCTCTGGCCAGGTGCTGGGCACTCCTGCAGGCAACAGGGAGAGGCCAGGCATTCTCTGCCTGGAAGTTGCAGCCCCTGTCCCCTAGAAGTAGGCCAGATGGGGAAGCTAGTTCTTCTGCTTAATGGCAAAGCAAGAGAGATTCTGGCAAAACACTAAATATATTTATAAGTCATCTTTGTCTGGAACCCAATGGGAGAGAAACAGGTGCAGGAGGAGGGGGAAGGGAGTGGGAAGGGAGGCTTAAAAGTTCCAATCATTCACACAAGATAAAGACATCCTCTGATAGCAGCACGGAAGCAGCCGGGTGTGCCGAGCAGACCGTCCTGGTCAGCTGCTGACCGACTGTCCCAACAGGAGTCTCAAAGCCCTGCTCCTCGCTGATCCATCCGGGGAATCCGGGTAGGAGTGTGATTGTTGTTGTTCATCCTGGTCTTGGCAGGTATGTTAAATACTGCAACATTAACGAGTCCTGTGTGGAAACACAGCCAGCAGTCGTTAGGCCTTTCCTGGTACTTTTCACTTGCGCTAAGACAGAGTGTGTGTGGTTGTCAATGAGAAAGGTTTGTGGTTCCTTCCCAAGAGCTGCTTGCCCACAAAGTGCTTCTGTCACAGTCTCCTTGGGGACTTACACAAAGAACAGGGCCTGGTGGTGTGCTCAGGGTACGGGGTGCTAAGATTAAGAGTGAATAATGGCTGGGACAATGCCATGCTTCCCTGCTCCCTGGAACAGCAGAGCGGCAGGGATGACTCTGGGGGCCCTGAGTGACTGTCTTGGAGCACAGTGGTGTCTCTGTAAGAAGGGTGCACTGTCGGGAAGCTGGCTGGGGCCTGCCTGGCTTAAGGAACTGTGTGTGGAGACGCCGAAAGTGCTCCTGGTCCCTTCAAGGACAGATGTGTAGGTGGTGGCTGGAGATGGGGCCTGGAGATTAAGGCAGAGGATGATACTGGAGATAAAAATTTGCCATCTAGGTTGAAGTGAGAGCTTAAGTCATGGGAAAAGACAAGACAGCCCAAGAAGAGAGCCTAGAGGAGTCAAAAATGACCGAGTCCGATTCTCAGGGGAAGTCTGTTTCAGCAGTGAGAGGAGAAAAAGATGTAAACAAAGTGAGGGAGAATAAAAACAGAGAGGGTTAGGGTACATTCCCATGGCCAAACATGTGTTTAGTATGAGTCAGGCCAGGTGCACAATACCCAGGAGCTGCTACCCCAACAGCAAAATACTATTACATTGGAAAAAAACCCAAAGATTGGCAAAAAGAGCGGACAAGGTACATGGTGATCAGAGGATCACTCCCCGTGGTTGCCTCTGCAAAGGGTTTATGATGCGTGTAGACTAAGACCTTTGCCAACACTGTCTCCATGCAGACCTGTGAGACAGGTGCTGGGCTCCGCATCTCACTATCAGGATATGGCAGACAAAGGGCCCAAGAGCACACACCCAGTGTGACTTATCTGAGGAATGATGAACCAACTGTCCTCTCCAATAGCAGAGACACTGTGGGGAGCCCCCAGAGGCATGCTCTCACCCTCAGGAAGACTGACAGAGGTACAGGAGTGCAGTGAGAGGCATGCCTGCTCTAACAGGAAGCACACTATGTTCCCAAAACTGGTCATATCCCTAGAACTCAATAACCCAACATGTCTGAACCAGGGATGGTACCCCATGCCAAGTGCAAACACCCATAAACAATACCTGGGTATTTTAGGTTTTGCCCTGCCTTAGGGAGGTGCTAGAGACTTGGGAAGGAGCCCGGCTTCATGCTACTACTGGGAATGAACAAACGAACCAAGTGGCTAATCTCCTGTGGATGGAGCAGAGAAGTGAGACCGGGAAGCCAGAGCTGTGCGCTGCCAGGGGTACATTTCAGCTAGAGACCTTTCCAGATAAGCTGCTGGACTGACGGGGTCTTCCTTGTAGGTGCCTGATCTAAAACTATACAATGACAGGCTTTTGGGCCATTAGTTTTCTAAGTGGCTCAAATGCCATTTACTTTCATAAAAATTGTACTACTATATAACAAGAATGCTAGAACCCTCTAGAACTGAACTTGCTACTTTCTACCAGTCAAAGTGGTGCTCACTGGGGCAGTCCCTGCCTCATGTCATGCTGTCCGATTCTGCCCTCTGCTGTACACGGCTTGGTGAGTCAAAGGAGGAGAAACTCCCGAGAGCTGGCAGTGCCTCATGGCCAGTATTCTATCTCCTACCACAGTGCCACCCACACCGCTCTTTGCATACCCGGGCAAGTATGAGGTCAGGGTTGGGCTATTTATCTGGAGATGTAGGTGTATGTCCGAGAAGGGGAGCGGGGTGGTTCAGCGTGGGCAGCTGGATCATTTAGGAAGTCCCAGATGAGGATTGTATCATCATGTGAACTACTGACAATCTGGAATTCATCAAACTGGAGTCGGAAAACTCTTCCAGAATGTTCCTAAAGAAGCAGAAACAAAAAGAAAGACTTTGAACTCAAACTCAAAAGCATTAATGTCTGAAGTAGCCTATAGAAAGGCTATGGTGTGCCCAGGGGTCGTTTCAGACAGTTAGACAGCAGTTTCACTAACTTTAGGATGGAAAACTCAAACACCAGTAACTGATAGCAGGACACAGTAAACAAGCAAATGGCAAAGGAAGTACTGGCTTGTCACCACCAACTGGGATTAGGCTAGGAGAGTGGTCTTGGTGCCTCCAGGTCTTTTCATCTCCCTGCAAGCTCCTCTGACCGGAAGTCAAGGGGTGATCAGCAGTGAGAAATGACATGCTGGTACAATGTCCACCAACCAGCCTTCTTGAAGCTGGAGGTTACCCAGCACCCACATGGAGACTGATAGTCTGGCCTCTGAGGGCATTGTACTATAAAATATACAAGCATGGACATAAAAAAATACCTTAAAAAAGAAACTTCTTCCATTTGAAAAACCATTTACAGATTTTCATGATGCATAATGTCCTACTATGATTAATTTGAAGCTATTCACATACAGTCAACAACTTGTAAAATTCTAATGGCTGCCTTTCATGTGGTCAGGAGCCTGGTCTAGCACATCAGGGTAGAAAGCACTGCCTACATCAGGCATGGGCTGTTCCTAACTTCCTGGAAAGTACTTTCCACACTGTTTCTAGTCAGTCTCGCCTACACTCCAATTATTAACTTTTACCTACCCTTGAATTTCATATAAACACATAACACACAGTACATTTTTGTGCCAGCTTATTTTACTAAACATTTGTTTGTCTGCTTTTACGACAGGGTTTCTCTGTGTAACTGACGTGGCTGTCCTAGAACTCGCTCTGTAGACCAGGCTGGCCTCAAACTCCCAGAAATCCATTTGCCTCTGCCTCCTGAGTGCTGGGATTAAAGGTGTGTACCACCTGGCTTTTACTCAAAATTGTAACTGTTTTTCTGTCACTACATGGAAAAAGTTATTTCATTCCTTTAAAAATTAGTGGCTAATATTCCACTTTATGAATATACTATAGTTAGTTTATTCTCCTGTTGGTGGACATATGGGCTGCCTATAGTTTTTCAATACTATTAAAACAAAACTGCTTTCATTTGAGAGGTGGGGGCAGGCAGATCTCTGTGACTTTGAGGTCAGTCTGGTCTACAGAGTGAGTTCCAGGCCAGCCAGGGCTGGACCCTCTGTCAAAAACACCAAAGAGCAAACAAACAAGAAAAGCTGCTGAGTGGTGATGACATGCATTGTGATTACAGCACTAGGAAGACGGAGACGGGGATCACCAGTTTGAGGCCAGTCTGAACTATCTTTCAAGATCTTGTCTCAAACAAAACAACAACAAAGAAAGTCACTACAAGCCGGGCGTTGGTGGCACTCGCCTTTAATCCCAGCACTTGGGAGGCAGAGGCAGGCGGATCTCTGTGAGTTCGAGGCCAGTCTGGTCTACAGAGTGAGTTCTAGGACAGCCTCCAAAACAATACAGAGAAACCCTGTCTGGAAAAAACAAAAAACAAAAAAACAAAAAAGTCACTACAGGCATTATACAAGTTTATTATTTTATGTGTTTTGCCTGCATGTATGTCTGTGTACCAAGTGTTTGCCTAGTGCTCCCAGAGGTCAGAAGAGGGCGTCAGATCTCTTGGAACTGGAATTACAGACAGTTGTGAGTTGCCATGTGGTTGGGAATTGATCCTGGGTCTTCAAGAGCAGTCAGTGCCCCTACCTGCTATCTCTCCAGCCTGCATGTTTTGATGAGATGCACTCACTTTCCACAAGCAGAGCTGTGGGGCTATGAAGAGGATATGCCTGGCTTCCACAGACACCTGAAAGGACTGCTTAAGCTGGACCAAACACTGCTACCAGCCATGAGTTCCAGCTGTGCTCCCCATCACATGATATTCAAGCTTTTAAACCTTAGCTTAATACCTTCACAGCGATAGTCAACTGTTTAATTTATGTTTTTCTTTATGAAGTTGAGCAAGTTACCTTCTTTTCCTAGCTTGCTCAGAGTTTTTTAATGAGTGGGCATTGGATTTTGAAAAATGTTCATTTTTTTATTTTTGTGAATAGGTGTTTTATCTGTACTATGTAAGTGCCTGGTACCCGAGAGGCCAGAAGAGAATGTTGGACCCCTGGAACCAGAGTTACAGATGGCTGTGAGCTATCATGTGGGGGCTGGGAATTGAACCTGGATCCTCCAGAAGAGCAGACTGTGCTCTTTAGGCACTGTGTTAGTTCCAGCCCCTTGCCAAATGCATTTACTGACCTGTTGTTGAGACGGACACATGGACATAGGGCTGGGGACATAGCTCCAATGGGAGAGTACTTGCCTAGTATGTGAAAGGCCCTAGGCTTGTGCCCTAGCACCATAAGAATACATCGATTTTCAAGTGTTCAATCAGTCTTGTATACTGTACTTGGAACTTGCTTAGTATCAGTGTAACTTTTTTTTTTTTTTTTTTTTTTTTTTTGGTTTTTACGAGACAGGGTTTCTCTGTATTGTTTTGGAGGCTGTCGGACCAGCCCGGCCTCGAACTCACAGAGATCTGCCTCCCTCTGCCTCTGGAGTGCTGGGATTAAAGGCGTGCGCCACCACTGCCCAGCCAGTGTAACTTTTATTATGCATTATTGGAATCAACTTGCTCGTATTTTGTGGAGTTTTTTTTTTTTTTAATGTAAGAATTCTTTCAAGGCTACTAAGAGCATTTGCCTAGCACTCATGAAACCTTAGACTTAATCCTAGCACCACAACATCAAAAAAAAGCTTCTGAATCGCTCTGGCAAGCATGGTGACTTATCCCTGTGACCCCAGCACTTGGATGATGGAGACAGGGGATTAGGAGTTGAGTCAAGGCTCCACATGAATGTGTGCCCTGACCTCCAGACAGGTGCAATGGCACGCATGCCTCCCCCAATGACGCATTAAATTCAAGTAGTCATCACTGTCTTAAGAAACAAGGAGCAGTAGAACACGTGTGTTCATGAGGCACTGGCTTCCAACTCCAGTACTGAAAAAGGAACAACAAAAAACAAGTCAAATAAAAAAAATTTTTTTGAGGCAGGATTTCTTTGCATAGCCTTGGCTGTTCTGGAACTCACTCTGAAGACCAGCTGTTGTGTGGGTGCTAGGAATTAAACCCAGGTCTTCCAGCCTGCATGTTTTTGATGGAAGCAGAAATTTCCTTGCCCTATGTCGCATTTAGAAGAGAGCTAGGTGGCTCATCTAAATACCTTCTCAGTTACCTTCCTTTCTGTACTTTATATATAAGGAGATATGCTACATGTTACTATTTTTAAACCTTAAATTACATTTATTTGTGTGTATACCTGTGTATGCATGCATGTATCATGGCATGTGTGGAGGCTAGTTCACTCTGTCCACTGTGTGGGTCTCAGGGATCAAACTCACGTTGTCAGACTTGGCAGTGAGTGTCTTGCTGGCCCATATCTAGATTTGCTAAGGTATGCTTATGGCCCAATGTAATCCTTCTTGGAGAATGTTTCACGGGAGCCTGGGGAAGTGAATTTCTTCTTCACACTGTTGGAGAAACTCTCTGTATGTAGCAGATGGCCACTTCCAGCTGAGGGCAGTGCTGAGGGCTTTAACTCTTCTTCCTGAATTTGCTGCCTGCTGTGTTGCCCATGATTTTCCTTGTAGTTCTATCAGGTTCTCATCTGTATGTCCTGATGCTATCAGTTGGTACAGATGCTCTAAGGACTGGTCTATCTTCGTGGTACATTTGCCCCTTTATCATGACACAACACACCTTTCTATCCTGATAATATTATTTGTTATGTAGTTAGCTTTGTATGAGATCAATGCAGCTACTCTTAACTAGTAATAGCATGGCACACACTTCGTAAGAGACTTCAGGATGAAGAGTCACACAATGGTTGGTTAAATGGAGATGCGTCTCCACTGTCTAGAGGTATTGGCAGAACTGGTTTAATTCTCAGGCCTCTTCCCCCAACCTGTGTTACAGATGGATGTCTTTGCAGGCTTTTCCATCTGTGTGCCCTCATCCTGTTGTCTTTTTTTTTTTTTTTTTAAGTTTTTCCAGACAGGGTTTCTCTGTGTAACAAACAGCCCTGGCCTTCCTGGAACATACTTTGTAGACCAGGCTGCCCTTGAACTCACTGAGATCTGCCTGCCTCTGCCTCTCGAGTGCTGGGATTAAAGGCGTGTGCCACACAGCCCAGCCCATCTTGTTGTCTTTTTTTTTTTTTTTTTTTTGGTTTTTCGAGACAGGGTTTCTCTGTATTGTTTTGGAGGCTGTCCTAGAACTACCTCTGTAGACCAGGCTGGCCTCGAACTCACAGAGATCCGTCTGCCTCTGCCTCCCGAGTGCTGGGATTAAAGGCATGCACCACCAACGCCCAGCCTCATCTTGTTGTCTTTTAAGGACTAATGCCTGTTCTCAGTAAGTTCGGCTGATCTTATTCACGCTTTTAAAAGACTCAGTCTTCTAATACAATCAGTCTGAGACACTGGAGACGGGAACTTTAACACAGGAGTTCCTGGAAGACAGACTTCAGCCCGTTAACACATGGCACATGACCCTCCTCTTTTTTTTCTGGGGTAGTAGTGGTACTGACTCAGCCCAGGGCTCTGTGCATGCTAATACACTCCTCCTATCCTAGCCCTTGGATTTTTGAGGCAGGGTCTTGCTATGTAGCCCAGGCTGGCCTCCAAACTCATGATCCACCTGTCTATGATCTACCTCCCGACTGCTAGGGTTAAAGGCATACGTCACCTTACCAGTTTTAAGTTTTTATTTATAATTGCCTTTATATTTATAATATATTCATTCATTCAATTATGCACGTGCCTCTGTGTGTATGGGGCATGAGTGCAGTGCCCGTGGAAGCCAGAAGAAGCATCAACTCTCCTGGAACTGGAGTTACAGGTAGTTTTCATGCACCTGATAAGACAGGGTTTCTCTGTGTAACAGCCCTGGCTATCTTGGAACTCACTCTGTAGACAGGGCTGGCCTTGAACTCACAGAGATTCACCTGCTGGAATTAAAGGTGTGTGCCGCTATCACTCTTCTTGCCTCATTTTTTAAGGTGGGGGATTATAGACACATGCCAAAACGCTCAGTGCATAGAGTACACATTTGAAAAGATGTGTGAAGAGAGCAGGCAAAGCAATGTACTATTGAAAGAATGCATCCAGTCTTAGTTTTTTGGATCTAAGAGACAGGGTCTTAATCTGTAGCACAGGCTTCTCAGGAAGACATAGCAATTCTCCTGCCTCAGCCCCTGAATGCTGAGATACACGAATGTGCCACGATACCCAGCCTAAGGAAGTGCTTTAAACCCAAAACACATAAAGCATTCCTTTCCTCCAGAGCTGAGGCTTCCCGAGTGTTGACTCGGAACTCAGAACACTGGGCTTTTAATGTTTCATCTTTTCCCTGAGCTGTTCAAAAGAGTCTGTTTACTCTGGATCCACACATATCTAACTAAAGCAACATCTGCCAGTCTGAGACTATGGCTTGTAACGTGACAAAGAATTTTATGCTCCCAAGCCTGTGGTAGACATAGACCTGTGATCCCAGCACTAGGGAAATGGGGCAGAAGGAGTGAAATTTCAATCCAGCCAGGGCCACATGAGGCCCTGCTATGACTCCCTTCCCTCCCCAAGTGTCAGATGGTGACGCACGGGGTGGCGGCACGGCCCAGTGAGTGAGATGCAGAGCTGAGGAGCTGACCAGGGCTCTGGCAAGTCCAGAGCACTTTTTCCAAGTAAGGGTTCAGGTCCTGAGATTCTGGACAGGTTCCAATTTGTGTAATTATATTCTCTCTCCCTCAGTACCTCCTGTGGCTTCTGGTGGATACAGAATTCTTATGCACTTCCTGCACTACATGTGGGAGAGGTAGCATACAGCTGTTAAACAGCTGCCACGGTCCTCTCCTATACGGTCTCTAAAGTACTTTTGGATGAAAGGCACTATACAAACATATTTTATTGTCATGTATTGGTTGCTTTTCTACTTAGTAGGTTTTGTGAGAGTCTAACTATAAAATCCAGATCTATATTCTACAGCACATTAACATTTAATTTCTTCCTCTACCTGCTCTTCAGCCCCTTTAACAATAAGGCTCTTACCACAAGCGTCCGTAGACAAAGCGTCCCTGCAGGAGCACGGGGGTCCAAAGCAGCCATAAGATCCCACACTTTAATTTTCCTAAAGGGGACAAGAGGGGACAAAAGTCTTAGTTAAAAGCAAACTGGAGGGAACACAGGGAAGAAGAGAGAAAAGACAGGGCAATAAATGTGGGTAGTGGATGTGTGCACAGGAATCAGATGGCGTCTGAGTCAGGGGCCTGGTTCTCACACCCTCTTATAATACCCACCTTACATGGCTGGCATTTTCTGGTGGGTTTGTCTGGTTCTTTGCTTTTAGGGCAAAGCAGACTTTCTGCTTCTGATCTACTTCTTAGGTCTATCTGTTCTGTCTTACTGTTAGTGAACTCACCCATCATAGGCCCCACTCACGATCCTTTTGTTATCAAATCGAATACAGCGCACCAGTTCCTCATGGCCTTCTAATACTCGTAAACATGCCCCACATTCTATGTCCCACAGTCTGGAAGAGAAAATGGAGTCAGGTGAAACTTCAGGGTTCACTTCCAAGCCTTGAATATTACAATTTATTTCACACATCCTTTAAAAATTCACAAGTGAGCTGGGCAGTGGTGGTGCACATCTCTAATCCCAGCACTCAGGAGACAGACAGGGGAACCTCTGTGAGTTCGAGGGTAGCCTGGGTTACAGAGCAAGTTCCAGAATAGACTCCAAAGCTACAGAGAAACCCTGACTTGAAAAACAAAACAAAATAAAATAAAAATTCACAAAGGGGGTTGGAAAAATGGCTGAGTGGTTAAGAGCTCTAATTTCCAGTGCCTAAATGGTGGTTCATAACCTTCCTTAACTCCTGATCCAGAGGGTCCAACACACTCTTCTGACCAACTCAGGCCTCAGGCACGCATGTGGTGCAAACATGTACACAAAGGCCACACAGTCACACACATAATGTAAAAATAATATACTTCACTTTCAATATAACTTATTTCCTGTCTGTCATACAATTTGGGCAGAAACTAACTGTGTGATTTAAGTTCAAATGCTGTGAGTGATTTCAAAACACAGTGCTTCATACAACTTTGAAACCAGGTTCTTCCAGGCAGGAATTCAATGTACAGTTGCCCAGGAAGGAGAGTAATGCTTCCTGAAGTCACCCTGAAGAATGAGATACATTGTGTCAGTGATCTCTCTGTCACAAAGTAGCTCCATCACTGCTGGAGGACACTGCTCTCACCACTGTCCAGGACAGTCACCACCAATAAAAATGCAAAGCCGAATCTCAGGAAGCAGCCTGCTGCAATAGTTTCAATGCTTCCTAACCATTTCCATCCATTTGTAGGAAGGGTAGGTTTCATTCATCAGGTTTAGCTCTTCCTTCCCTCAGGCAATGAAGGAAAGGAGATGACAGATAAAATTTCCAAATTCTAACCACCTCTCTGTCATTCATCTTTGTAAGGGTAAAAATACAAAAAAGTATAGACTTGTGAAACCTTCAAATTTGAAGACAGCCAGCTCTCTAGCCAACTATTGTGTTGAAGTAAAAAGTCATGATTTCTAGCAGAAAATCAAATCTTTATTCTTCTTTTTCTTTATGCTTTCAACAATAGTGAGATGGAGAAATGGTCTTTGTTTATTAGCATTTTTCAACTGCAGGAAAGGAATGTAAGAGGGCCCTGAACTTCCGTTAGCTGTCTTAGTTTCTTATTGGAGCAGCCCCTCTGGAATAGCTCTATTTGGTGAGAAAAGTAATCAGGAAGGAAGCTTGTCCACACAAGGCTTTTCTGTACCGCCTCTCTGGCAGGGCAAGGGTTAACCCTGTGAGAAGCCACAGAAAGGAAACAATGTTGGATTGGATCTAGGGGAGAGGAGAGGTATGTGTGGGTGATCTGGGAGGAGTAGAGGGACATATGGGAGAAGCATTAAAAAAAAAAAACCAAAATCAAAACAAAACCAAACAAAGTCAAGACAGTGGTGGCGCACGCCTTTAATTCCAGCACTCAGGAAGCAGAGGCAGGCAGATCTCTGTGAGTTCGAGGCCAGTTCCAGGACTGCCAGAGCTACACATAGAAACTGTCTTGAAAACCCCAACAACAACAAACCACAACAAACAAACAAACAAACAAACAAAAACCAAGACAGTTAAAAATCATGAGATGTGTGCACAAATGGTGACAGGGTTTTGTGGATCCACTGGGGGAAAGGCGCCTGCTGCTCACCTGATAGTATTGTCAGATGAGCCACTCACCACCAGCCTGTCTCTGTACTGCAAACAGGCGATGCCTCGTTTGTGTCCATTTAGGGTCCTTACAAATTCACAAGTACTCGTGTTCCATACCTGAGACAGAGAAATGACAACTGAGCAGTTGATGGGCACACTTCTACCAGTAAAACGGAGTACTGGGTAAGCAGACAACCGAAGTGAGGCATCAGAGGATGCCAACGTCTCAAAGAAACAGCAGTGCCAAATAAGAGCCATGCTCAGTTCACAGCAGCATGGGGCAATGTGAAGCTGGCTGCTGTGCATGACGTGCTGTCAAACTGACCCACTCTTCCTGCTGTGTGCATGTGCTCAGCCCTCCTGATTTTTTAGAGTCACATTTATTACTTGTATGTGTATGTGTGCCTCCTTGATTTTGTGTGTACCATGTATGTGCAGGAACCCACAGAGGCCTGAAGCAGGTGTCAGGTGGTTTTGAGCCAGTATTTGCATGCTGACAACTAACCCTGGGGCCTCTGTAAAAGCAGCACACGGTCTCCACACACCAAGCCACCTCTCCAGCCCTCCACCTTATCCTCTGTAAAAGCAGCACCCTGTCTCAACACACCAAGCCACCTCTCCAGCCCTCCACCTTATCCTCTGTAAAAGCAGCACCCTGTCTCAACACACCAAGCCACCTCTCCAGCCCTCCACCTTATCCTCAGACACAGGGTCTTTAAACACAAAGCTTCCCGATTTGGCCAGAGTGGCTGACCAGCCAGCACCAGGGACTTGCCATCCTCCCCCACCCCACACTGAGATCACAAACTTGTGCTGTGACGTCTGGCTTTTAAACGGCTGCTAGGAATTTGAACTCAGGTCCTCATCTTTGTGTGGCAAGGACTTCATCAACCTGGCCATTTTCTCAGCTACAGTATGTATATTTTTTTTGAAATTAAACTTGATCTGCTCTTCTCACACTTGAAATAATTGCCATCATCATTAGTGACACTGTTATTATCTTTCCGTGCTGGGTTTTGGCATGCTAGACAAGCTGTCTACCACTAAGTTACATCTTCAGCCCATTACCTTTGTTTATAGAAATAAAAATTGAATTAAATGTTACATTATTCTACAATAACCTTATGTACATAGTTGTCCCTGATCATTCTTTTACACAAACTCCTTACTGCACCTTGTGAACACACTGAAAAGTGACCCATTACCTTTATGGTTCTATCTCCAGATGCAGAAACGATGTACTTGTCATCAAAGTCTACAACGTTGACCGCAGCCCGGTGTCCCACCAGCACCCTCCTTAGGGTGATGTCGGTTGGGGAGGCCATGTCCCATACAGCAATAGAACGATCTTTGGAGCAGGTTACCATCATTCCATTATTGAAACGCAAGTGCAGAACTGCTTCACAATGGTGAATCAATGTGTTTAGCATCTCACCCGCATTTACATCCCACACTCTGAAACGGATACCAGAGTTAGATGGCACTTAGGTTACAGTGCTGTGCCTGTTTCAACTTTGGAGCTTATCATCAATGACACCCCGCCCCCACCTCCCACTTTCTTTTTAAAACAGGGTTTCTCTGTGCAGTTCTAGCTGTTCTGAAACTCACTCTGTAGACCAGGCTGGCTTCGAACTCAAAGATCACTGCCTCTGCCTCTGCTCCTGAGTGAAGAGACTAAGGGTGTGTGTCACCATGCTTGACTCACCCCCACTTTTTGTTTTAAACGTATTATGTACACAGCGTATGCATGCCTGCATACCAGAAGAAGGCACTGCATCTCATGACAGATGGTTGTGAGCCACCATGTGGTTGCTGGGAATTGAACTCAAGACCTCTGGAAGAGCAGGCAGTGCTCTTAAACTCTGAGCCACCTCTCCAGCCCCTCACCTCCACTTTCATGGCAACTGTTGCCCTCTTCCTTTGCAGCCCCAAGGTAGAGTATGGATGGACCATGAGGAAGCAGCATAGACAAAGAAGAAAGGCAGGAAATAGGTGCTTCCTGAGTAAGACCTTAAGATGGGAAATCTGGCCAAGTATAGTGCTCAGCAATGAGGAAGCAGTCACTATCACCTGATGATGTGGCATGGATTTTTCAGATTATTGTAATACAATATCCTATTATTATAATATAATTTTATTATTCTATTATTGACATTCAATTAAGAACACACATGTAAACCAAGATAAAGAATAGCAATAGGGAGAGCCAGGAGTGGTCAGTGGTTCTGATATGGCCAAGAATTGTGTTGATGTCTGTGCTGTGTTACCACCAAAGCCCTTGTGGATGCCCGTGGTTGGGGCTGCAGCCTGAAGCCATGTTAATGCCCATGGGCATGAGAGCATTATCTCAGCCCTGCTCTGGCCACTGTGTGGCTCTTCTCAGCTGATGGCTTCTGGCACAGATGCAGGTGAGGAGAGACTCATCCTCCCTGATTGGCTGGTCACTAGGAATTTGTCCATGCTCAATATGTGGACAATACAAAATGAACTTTTTTTTTGTGGGGGAGGTCATGGGGAGGCACAGGAAGACTGGGAAATGAGTGTGACCAGAGCACATGATATGAGATTCTCAAATAATCAATTAAAAAAAAAAGAATAAAAAAATAGCAGTAGGATCTGTCCCAGTAGCTACCCCCAGGAACCATGGGCCAAGATGTTCTGCCACAGACTTAGTCAAGGGGATTGGAACTTGACTTCCTTGAATGCTAAGTTTTCCACCTGGGTCAAGAGTCAGGGTTACAGACTCTAAGTTCAAGGCTCCATCTCTGTGCTTCTCAGGACAAAAGGTCAGAAGGGCACCCCTCCCACTCTAGCACTGCCTCATAGAGTGGGGCCTTGGGGAGCCTGAGAACTGTGCCACGATCGACACAAGTTACCTCGGTTACTCTATTTTTGCATATTGATTTTTGTTTTTAAAACATTTTATTCCCCCTTTTCAGCTTAACTCTCCTTTTGAAAAGCTGTTTCTTGTGTTGCTAAAAAGGTAGAGTGCTACTTAGCATGCTAAGTCCCAGGTTCAACCCCAACACCACCAAAACAAACAAAGAAAACATCGTCTCTCCCCATCCTATAAATGATATGAGCATCTACAATGCTTGCACGCCTGTGAGGCCTCCACAGCACGGATAAAAGTTAATTGCCAGCAACTGCATGGACCGGGTCTGCTATGCCTGGAAGTCAAAGGAGCAGCTTTTCCTGTTTACAGGGACAACTTCAGAGGATTTAACAACGCAGTTAACTGCCTTTATTCCAGTTTTTTTTTAAAGTTACTGTTGATGTAGTACATTTGCTAACCCTTTAGCTTAAGGAGAAATTCCTAGCAGGTTTCCGGCAGTGATGCCGGTACCCTGAACTCAAGCTACACTGGACTCCAGCAGCATAATGGCTGTGTCATCAAATCACCAGCGCCTCTGGAAATTGAGGACCCCTCCCTGAGTGAAACTCGCAATTAAACACTGTGGGGACAGCAGGGAAGGGGCTGACAAGGAGTGAGCCCTGCTCACCTGTATGCACTTGAAAGAGCTCATACATGCCTGCACTGCAGCTACAATCTCCTGAAAGGAAGTTACAATCCCTTCCTGAATTCCCGTGAGGTGGTTTCATAAAGGAATGCAAGGCTTCCCATAAAGAGAGGGAAAGTTCCTGTGACAGGTGCCTCTCCAAATTAAAATCTGTGTGCAGCTTCTTAAACATGCCAAAGCAGAAATCTACCCAATGGTTCCAAAATCAAGTGTTGGGTTCTAGAGTGACAAGAGACCAGCCGGAAGCAAATTCTAAGCTCTGACACTCTCACACAGATATACATACAGGTAACTCTCAATGCACATGAAATAACAACTAAAAAGGAAATTACTGTGACAAAAAGTGTCGGGTTTCCGAGTCTGACACTTCCTACCTGACAGTGGAATCCGATGAGCCAGTTATAATCACCCTCTCGTCATACTGGAGACACAGGACGGAGCCTGTGTGGCCTGTGAGAATTCGCTTGCATTCCAATGTGCTTTTATCCCAGATCTAGGAGGGCAAAGGATCACTGTCACAACGGGGTGCTGTGGAGACCTGTTGCTCTGTACACATGCAACCCCCAAACACCAAGCCAGAGAGGGCGAGACTGCATTCTTTCCTCCAGATAGACAGCACCTGGGTGTGCTGACTTCAGGGTTAATGCTAACTTTATCCTTTTCATTAAGGAGGAAGAGTAGCCTATAATTATGAAACCCAAAATAACAACAGCTTCCATCAGTGCACTTCTAGAAGAGATTTCAACCCTGGAATTATCCATTTGTATGATGTCATTTAAGGAAATGATTTTGGCTTTGGTACTAGAACTAATCTAAACATTTCACCTCCTAGAAACAACATTAGTTATACTTCAGATTGCTTTATGAGCGCAGTCACCCTCACTCCCACAGCTATGCTCTTCCACTGAAGGGGGGACTCCACCTTGATTGTGTTGTCTCGAAGGCCGCTCACTATCTTCTGGTCATCATATTGTAAACAGTAAACCCCTTTGCTTGTTTCACTCCGGCAGTGGATTCTCTGTAAACTATGGCGTCCACATCTCCAATTGGATTCTATTGTCTAAAAAGGAGGATTCAAAGAGGCAGTTAATTAGGAAAGAACCCAAACCAATGGCTCAGGGTCACGCTATAGCAGCGCTTCTCAACCGGTGGGTGTGACCCGCATCCCCATGTCACAGGGGTTGCCTAAGACCACTGGAAACACGAATATTTACAATTCATAATAGCAGTAAAATTATAGTTGTGAAGTAACAATGAAAATAATCTAGGGAGGCTCATCAGCTTATGAGTTCAGTGTCTCCCTGGTGTTTCAGAAGGTGATAATTCCCTCCTGCCTTCTCATCTATCAGGAAGGAATATTCTGAAACTGTACAGAAATTGACTGGAACTCTTCTGTACCTTATTCATGAGTAAAGACACCAATTCTTCACCCACACTAAAAACCTTAATGGTTTTCCTGTAATAATACCTGTAAGTTAAACATACCAATTATTCCCTAACACTCAGAAAATACCCAGAAATACATTGATTCTTACCTCAATATCTTGTATAATTTTAGGATAAAGTGCTCTATAAAAGGAGTTGGGAGGAGCGTTCTCATCAGGAGGCTTGTTTTTGAATAGGTACTGTCCCCTAAAAATGAAAATATTTACCAATGAAGATCATAAATCCATTTATAACAAGTTTTGCAGTTTTTCAAAATGTTTCATTTACCACTACACACAACATTTATTAAGTAGTGTGGCAAAGCATGATGATAAGGAGATTTTCGGAGTCCTGTGTCAGTGTTAACCTCCTGATGTCTAAGGAACTTGATCAACTTTGATTCCACTACAGACCATCAGAGTACCAATCCCTTTGGGATACTGGTAAACGTATACTCAGAATTCATCTACTGGCCTATTAGGCTTCTGCACATTTCCTGGTTTTGTAATCATAACTAGTACTTTCCTCCCTTGGCTCCAGGGCTGGAGCTCAGACTGCTAGGGAAGTAGTTGGCCACACTCTACCACTGTGCTTCCCTGAGCCAAACTGTGCCAGTGCCAGAAGAAGCCTAGCATGTTGGGTAGCAGCGAGGCTTGTGTCACGGAGATCTGGTCATTTATCACATGGGGTATGTTGTGCTAGCTTAGTCAGTGGGGCTATTCCTGACCGCTGTGGCAGGCCTCCAAAAGAGGCCCTTCAGTGCATCAGTGTCCAGCAGCAGGAAGGGCAGAGGTGAGAAGTGCTAAGCACACCATGCCATCATGTGTGAGGCACGGAGCCGGCTCTTACAGGCGTACACCCTTGTGCACACACAGATGTACACACTGACTTTTCTTGACTCCCGCAAGCAGCATTCGCTGGCAGCTCCTTCCCTATGACAACATCTCTGAACGCTCACGTCCCACATTAGACAGCTACCCCTCCGCCCACCCCCAAAAAAGGTAAATGGCAATCACTTCCAGCTGGGTAAAAAAATTTAATTCCTTACCCTGAAGTTAAGAACCCACCAAACCCGGTGTGGAAGCTAGTAAAGGCCACTGTGGGTGTACTAACTGCTGCTCAAACTGGCACTGTGCCTCGCAAAGTGGAGATAGGCAGAAATGCCTCTGTGTGTAATCCTGGCACCAGAGAAATCATGTTTTCTCTGGGCCAGTCATCCACCTGAGCCTCTGTAGCACCATTACAATATAATTAATTGTTCCATGTCTTCAGGAGAGCTTCTCCCCTGCCCTCTCCCTATTACACACCCTGAAAATTAGCTGAGAAAGTCTCCTATCAGGAAGGCAGCTGGGGCTGCTGTCTACCGTAATGCAGAAAGGGAAATCTGCAATGGAGACGTGGAAAGAACAGTCTTCTTAAAGGAGGACTGTGAAATCCGACATGCCAACATAAAGGGTAAGTGAGCTACTTTGAGAAGTAACTGAATTAATGGCATCCTTGTCTGGACAGTTTGGTTATGTAAACTCTCTGCATGCAGATAAGATTTTTAACTATTGTTTTCAGTGCCCACCATTCCTGAGACTCTTGTCTTCCTTCCAGTCTTTGCTGTTCCTATAAGGTATTCCAGGATTTCCTTTCCATTCAATGATATTGTCTCTATATCCTTGGGAAATAGGATCCAAATGAATCTCTAATCTCATTTTCTATCTCTCCATCTTTACCACGCCTTACAAATGCATACTGATTTTTCCAATCCAAGATGCTACAAAGGAGTGGTAGATGCTGAGAACTGGCTTCCTCATCTGCATCTGTTTTAAGGCAAAATCTTTTATGGTGTATGTTCCTTGACAACAGGGACCACTTCTATGCAAAATGTCTGGTACCTGTAAGGATGTGAGTGCATGACAAATGTGAAATATTAAATCTAGAATGTTATCATAAAATGTGATCTCCTGATTAAGAAAATGGACTTTTCCCAAGTGGCCCTTTATCATACTTTTAAGAGTTACCATTACTGAGTAGAGAACATTATCTACTGTTATTTAAGAGAGAAAACTGCAAAGTTCATGTCCTAGGGGCAAACTGTCAAATCTATCTAGGTATGAAATAAAACAGCAAAGTGGAAGTTAAATCTTGGTGGCTCAATCATTCCAGGAAGACTGTATTTACTTGTATACTTTTGAAAAGAAAAAATTGGAGTTACTTTCAATGACACTTGTATGGGAAAAGGAGCAACACAGAAAGGCTTTAACACAGAGGGCTTAGTAAGGGTAACTTCAAAAACTGATAATGAGCTGGGTGTAGTGATGAATGCCTTTGATCCTAGCACTCAGGAGGCAAAGGCAAGAGGGTCTTTATGAGTTTGAGGTCAGCCTGGTCTACAGAGTGAGTTCCAGGACAGCCAGGGCTACTTAGAAAGATCCTATTTTTCAAAACGGAAGGAAAGGAAGGAAGGAAATGAGAAATTGGTCGTAGATTATTTCTTCCGAAGAAGGGAGAATCTGGCAAATTCCTGTAATCCCAGCACTCAGAAGGCCGAGGCTAGAGGCTTGACAGCAAGCTGGGCTATGCAGCAAGGGCATGTCTCAACAGCATGGCCACCCAAACACAAAGGCAATAAACAAAAAGAGACACAGGTGTCACCTGAAGACACTCAACAGGCATTCATAGAGCACACAAGTATTTGTATTTACCACTTCACGGGACTGTAACAAGTTAAATCAAATTATATCAATGGATCAAAGACAAGGGCTTCTGGTCATAAAGCTGACTTGTAAAGAGTGTGTGTGTGTGTGTGGGGGTTCTGAGGTTGAAGAGACGGAAACAGTAGCACTACCCGAATGAAGACATCTCAGAACTATCTTCAAGGACCCCTCTAAAAGACTAAAAAGTGGACTGGAATTTAACTTAGGGGTAGAATACTTGCCTAACAAGTACAAGACCCTCAGTTTGATTTCAGGCACCACAAAAATTATTTAATAGAAAATAAAAGGCGCGGAACCTATCTTTTCAATGATGGTCTTTGTTACTGTCATTATAACTAACATAAAAGACCCCACCGTTTAGGACCAATCCTAAACAAAAGTTATGCTTTTATGTCTGCACTTACAGTGCACACATCTCAGAAGCCCCACTCTTTCTTCTCCTTGCTTTCAAAACCCATTGTGGTTATGAGGAAAGTTACTGTTACTTACAGTACAAATGGGAACACATGTATTTTATTAGGGCATGATGTCTTTTTAGCTAAGGAGTGAGTTTTTAAAACTGATATATTAAGGCATGAATAATCTGGAGGAGAGTTCCTTTGCTTTCCTGAGGGATAGAGAAATCTCAGACATCCGAAAATTCCACAAGTAAGACTGTGTGCTCATTTTTTAAGAAAGACTTATTTATTTATTGCGTATACAGTGTTCTGCCTACATGCTGGAAGAGGGCACCAGATTGAATTGTAGATGATTGTGAGCCACCATGTGGTTGCTGGAATTGAACTCAGGACCTCTGGAAGAGCAGTTAGTGCTCTTAACCTATGAGCCATCTCTCTAGTCCCTGTGTGTTCATTTCTAAAGCTAGTCTTGGACTCAACAAAACGATGGACTCATCATACATGCTATCTAACAGAGTATGATGTCAGTAAGCAAAGGCAGTTTCTCCTTTCCTACATAGTAAGGAAGGATAGGAAAAACATCTGAAAGAAAAACAATAGGAAACAATAACAATAAGCCCTGGTTTATAGTCATATAGCAAGAAGATTGCTAACATTTGGATCCTTGGCCTGGGATTTAAGAGTAAAGGTTTTAAAGTCTTCTTAATAGCTCAAATGACAGAAACCTTGAAGCACTTGCCATAACACTCAGATTTCAAGGATATACAAGCAAAAGAGTCAAACACAATTTTATGAAAGTTCTAAGGAAGGCTGATATTTACCTCTCTCTTTCCTGCCTCAACTTGCTTACTTGCTGGGATTACAGGTATGGACCAGATGCCTATGCAGCTAAATGAAGGTTTGTTTTCTGAGTGCTGAGACTGAACTCAGAGCCTTATGTATACAAAGCAAGAACCCACAGCTCCTAACGATTTCTAAACGTGTTTTGACACAGGGTCGGTCATGCTGCAGAGCTAAGGTGACCTCATACTTGTCAGCCCCCTTCCTTCTGCTTGGAAAGGCCGGTGTATACTACCACACCCAGCTTCCCTTTGTAACTCTTAACTATTTGAGGTTGTGCATGCCTACAGACAAAAACAGACCCCCAAAAGTTAACTTTGAAGGCAACCATTGGGCATACACATGCCAATTATCTTTTTTTTTTTTAAATCAAATACACTTAAGAACTTACTCAATGAGTTACTCATACCTGACTTTCTCATAGTGGCATCCTAGGGACACACTCTGAGGGAAAGGTCTAGGAAGGGAAATCTCTTTAAGAAGTTTTAATGACATAGAGAACAGCACTGGTGAAGTCATTCAGGCTGCTGATGACATAAGGCCTTAGGGAATTTATAGCTAAACATGTAAATCTAAAGAAACATATACATTTTAAGAAACAGTGATTTATACTAAATTCCATTTTCATTCTTTCTGGTAGCTATAGTTTTATTTTACTCGGAACATAAAAATTAATTTTTGATTATGAAGGTAATGAGATACTGGAAGTGGACTAAACACAGGAAGACTACCAAAGGCGAGCAATTCCATTTTCCCCAGGAGGAAGCAGGAACGGATACTTTCTACCTCGCTCAAAGCTGTCGTACCTGCCTTAAAAATTGCCCCTTGGCCTTTTTGTAGAGTCCCATTTTCTGTCCAAAGAGCAGAATACTTTAATGAGGAGATGGTCAGTTTTCTTTTGCCAAGCAGTATTAACAAATATGTCATTTAATGATTGAGTACATGACAACAATTCTCTTATCTTTTCAGTTATAAATCGGCACAGTGACTATACATGGTGCCAAGCGGCCTCACTGGCTTCCACACTTGCAGCGTGCAGCGGCCCCGAGGGAGAGTGCTGTGGTAAGAGATAGGTAAACGCTCACCACCCTCTGCGCTCTGCCAGGCCTCTCCACAGAGAGTCCGTCCTGACCATTCTCTCGATGAGCTTCTTCCACAACATGCCATCCGACGTCACACGGTACCACTCCTTGCACACAAGCTCAGCAGCACACAGTGATTTGGCGTCCAAGTACGACAGAATGTTCTCAGCAATATGGTCCAGACCCCGTGCTTTGGTGAGGGGAGGAAGAAGCACAGAAAAAGACAGAGGGGTTGCTGAGCAATTTTTCACAGAAAACCCTTTAAAAGAACAGCACATGCCGTGCGATGAAGGCACGCCACTGTCCCTAGTGTGGTCCAGTTTCTGTCTCAAGCAGAGACTTGGGTAAAATGAGTGTCAATAATTTTTCCATAAGGTTACAGAAATGAACAGTATTTTCCATCTTCTGTTAGATAAGAAAGTTAAAGCTAACAACCAGCAAACCCCCAAGACATTAAAAATAAAAAGGAATCCAGAAAACAGTTCCCATCTATCTATATGGATTTCAACACTAGGGGATGTTCTATGGATGGCATCTCAAACTCAGTGATTCAGACCCCCCCGAAATCTTGATATTAGGTCCATTTCTCATTCTGCTTCTATTACTGCTGTAGTTCCAAAGCTATCCAATGAAAGAAATATCCCTAAATGTACTGGGGAGACAGCACACCAGACTGTGCTGGGGAGGAAATGTGGGCGTACAGACAGGAGGGAAGCAGATAGACATGGCTTCAGGAGCATCCTAGAGGACACGCAGGGATAGTAAAGTTCAAAGATGAGCTCCACTGCATGTGTTCAAAAAAAAAAAAAACAACCACAACTATTTTACTGCTATAAAACCTAAGTGACGACCAAAAATTAAAAAAAAATTGCCAATCAATAACTTGGGTAGCATTTCATAGGAAATCATGGCAAGTTGATCGTGGGTGATGGAAACTGGTGTTCCCCAATTAAAGCTCTCTACCACCCAAATATGTATCAAAGTCTCAGTGGCAAAGAGCCTTCAAACAGGATGACCACCCTAGTGGTCATTGTCACTGCTGTTTACAGGTCAGACGAAAACATTCAAAATTATTAATCTCTGATGTTTTCTGAAGGCTCAAAAGGTGGGAAGGAGTCATACAATCTGTCTTCTGCAGGCACGAACTGAGAAGGACCCACGACATGCATGCGTGCTTCCCCTGAATCATATGGAGACACACTTGGATGCCATTAGCAACAATTCAAATATGCTTATTAAACATTATTCTAATTATAAAAATTGTATGGCTATCTATCACATTTTCCAGCAGACTTGGGGAAGAAAGCTTTAAATGGATCTTGTTTGGCTGGCATCACACGTTCATATTTAAGCATAAGCAGATGGAGGCATCCATCACCTAATTCTTATTAAAGGAATATGACTATAAGCCAATTAAAGATATAATAAACAGTTTTCATACAAAATACAATGATGGTATGTTTCCTGAATCTTTATATTCAAACTTTGTACAACATCAGAAGTTTCCAAAAGGTGTTTGTACATTTTTAATGGCTGCTGTCAAATTGCTCCTGATCTTTTACAATGTACCAGTAATAAGTTGCTGGAAGTAATTTCACCTAACACTCCAAACAAAACCATTACATTAATGGATTATAGGCAATTTTTGAAGTAGTTTGGTTTACTAAATGCAGCCAGACGGTGTAGGCTTAGAAATTTAAATGGCTGTTAAGCATTGGATGTGATTTAATACCGGATAGACTGGTCAGCAGATACACACTAAGGATCAGCATTAGGTATAATACGCAGGTTCAATCGACTCTGGTTCAATTCTCAGTGTCTAAGCTTAAGACAGTAGCATGTCTCAGTGATTGGGAAGGACACAGAAATAGGTACACTCAGATTGTACAAAGATAAACTGCTTGCCTATGGCTAGAAAAAAAAATCCAGATATAAGGGGGCAAACATTGATTCTAGTTAGCAAAGGATACATGTACAATTTGTTTTAAAGTGGTTATTTGTAATATACAAATAAGCATTTCTTTAATTTTAAAAGGCAATTTATTTTAAGTTTAGAAAAACAAAATTTGAAGAACAGCTGGCAAGGATTAAGCAAGTACGTAGTCCTGAGAAGGCTACCAAACAGTACATTCTTCTTACAGGAGAGCTTGCCAGCATGTTCCAAAAGCCCTTTAAAGACGAAGCTGCTGGTGGAAGTGCACACTGTAATCCCAGGAGGACTCGAAAGTTCAAGGCCAATCTGAGTTACACAGTAAGACCTTGCCTCAAGAGGAGGAGGAGGAGGAGGAGGAGGAGGAGGAGGAGGAGGAGGAGGAGGAAGAAAAAGACTTCAAAAAGTTCATGCTTCACGGCAGGTGAAGGTTAGTGGCCCAGTGCTTGCTGGCAAGTGTGAGGCACTGGGTTCAATTTCCAACACACCCATAAAACAAGCAACAACAACCAAAACAAAACCCAAACCCAAACAAACTATAACAAACAAATCAAACTACATTGAAGCTCCTCCTGTTCTTTAATATAGCAATTCTACTTTGAGTATCTCTATATAGGGAAATAAACACATGATCAGAACTTTATAAAAATATATGAACAAACAAAGGGCTACCTGTGTGGTAGAGTTCTGGGCAATTATATTTTTCACTTTGTGTGTGTATGTACATGTTCACATATGTGTGCATGGAGGTCAGTGAGCCCCCAGGGATCTACCTACATCTGCCTCCCTAGGTCTGGGAATACAAATGCATCCCCTCTCCCAGCTTTCTCATGAAGGCTCTGAGGGTCAAACCCATGTCCTCATGCTTACATAGCAAGCACTTTGCTGGCTGAACTATCTTCCAGTCTATTTTTTTGGGGGGGGATTTTCTAAATTTCATAACCATCAAAACAGAAAAACAGCCCCAAACAAGACCTGCAGTTTCGTTAACATTGATTGTATACTATTTCCCTGATAAATGTGTAGCCCATATAAGAACTTCCCATTTCCCATTTTTTACTGTGTTCTAGATCCCCATTCAAGATGGGGATGGGGCACTCTGGAGATGCTACTTAGTTACAGAGTACTTGCCTAGTTTGCATCAATATCCCCCACCCTAATTGGGGTATAGGTTAGTAGTAATGTCTGCCCTGGTTGATCTGCAAAGAACCTATGGCATCCTCGCAACACCCCCCCGTGTGTGAGACACACATCAAAGAACTGATACATCATTCTTTCAAAAAAAAATACTACCAGTGTTGGTGGCGCACACCTTTAATCCCAGCACTCGGGAGGCAGAGGCAGGTGGATCTGTGAGAGTTCAAGGCCAGCCTGGTCTACAGAGTGAGTTCCAGGACAGACTCCAGAGCAATACAGAGAAAACCTGTCTCGAAAAGCCAAAAAACTAACCAACCAAACAAAAAACCCTAAAAAAAAAATCCTGTAATTTAGGTATTCTATGGGTTGTAACAGAGGCTGACACAGGAGGATTGTGGGTGTTTTAGTCAGCCTAAGCTCAGTAGAGATACTCTGTCTCAAGCAAACAAACCAACCCACTAAAATTCCCATAAATTCAAATATAAGTGCAGGAAAGAAACGGAAAATAAAACACATTATAAAAGTCATACCTCAAATCAGGTAAAGGGAAACAAAACAAAAAACAAAACCAGATTTGGAACTGCATATAAGTTAAATTTAAAAAAAGCTGAACAGAAGGACATAATACAAGGACACACAATAAAACGGAATTTAATTTTTGTTGTTTTTTCTTTTTCCTTCTCCTCCTCCTCCCTCTCTCTCATATTTCTTTTTTGAGACAGGGTTTCTATGTATAACAGCCCTGGCTGTCCTAGAGCTCACTCTGTAGACCAGGCTGGCCTTGAAGTCACAGAGATCCACCTGCCTCTGCCTCCTGAGTGTTGGGATTAAAGGCAAGTGCTACCACACTCAGTGGTTTTTCTTGTATTAGATGAAGAAGGTATAATTAGTGACTTGGCATGTCAAACTATCAAACCAAATAAAAATTTAAAAAGAGAAATGTGGCCAGCAGTGCTACACTTGTAATCCCAGAACTTCCAATGCCAAGGCAGAAGGACTGCTGTGAGTTTGGGGCATATCTTGGCTACACAGTGAATTTGAGGCTAGCGTGGGTTGTGGAGTGAAACCTCCACAGTCTCGCAAAGGGGCGGGGTAAGGCTGAAGACCCAGTTCCATTACTGCTGTAGCAGTAACTAAGACTTTACAAGGAAAGCACACGTACCTGGCAGAGCAGTTATGAAATCCCTCTGCAGCATAGGCTTTAGATAGGAGTTGATGTGCCCATGCTGGTAATGACACATTTGGGATATAAGGTGTTCTACAAATTCCACTTGATCAGACTCTGACCACTGCTCAAAATACTTGACACACAGTTCCTTTTCCTTCTCATAGCTTGCTGAGAGCTTCCGCTGCTTGGGCACAATCATACTGGAAGTGCCATTGGCAAGTTTTGTCTATAGGAAGGGAGGAATTAAAAGAAACATGTAACAGTAAGCATTGAAAATGAGGGCAATAGTCTAATTTTCTGGTCTGGTATGTTAACTCGTATCTTTACAAGTGAGTTATTCTTGTTAGATTTATAGTAATTGAGTATTGTGAATCATAATTATGTGGAAAGACTTACAAATACCAGAGTAAGTTGGTAAATCAGGTATACTCCGAGAAGACCATTTCTAAAAGCTCACAGACATTCTTAATCTATGGCCAGAAGCACATAATTATTACTAGCAAGCAAAAAAGTTAATTTGCCCTTTCTTGTATGTAGCTGTTACCAGACATTTAGATAATTACTTCTTCACACTTACTTTTTAAAAGTCAAATAAGAAGTCTTCCATGCAAAGACAGATCAGCGAATATTTACAGTTCTCATAGCATCTCTGCAGATAAAGCCTATAACTCATATGCTCAAGTTAACCTTTTCTTTCCAAAATATCATCTTCGTGGTTATCAAAAAATTAAATGCTATATATATATATATATATTTTGAGACAGGGTTTCTCTGTGTATCAGCCCTGGCTATCCTGCAGCTCACTTTATAGACCAGGCTGACTTGGAACTCACAGAGATATGCATGCCTCTGCCTCCCAAGTGCTGGGATTAAAGGTGTGCACCACCACTGCTTGGCCAAATGCTATAGTTTTTAATAACTAAGTCATTTAATAAGTATTTACTGAATATCTACACTGTATCCAACACTGTTCTAGGTGCTGAGAATACAACAATGAACAAAACTAGCAGAGAATCTAGTTTAAGAGGCACACATCACTTATGATGTAAGTAGTGCTGCCAAGAAAAGCAGAATACAATGATTTTTGGATTATATAGGGCCCGAGAAATGGGTTAGCGGGTGAAGGCACTTGCCGCCAGCCCTGACGACCTGAGCTGATGTGCACGGTGGAAAGAGAGAGGCAACCACTGTGAGCTGTCCTGATCTCCACACACACTTGGAATGTGTGCCCATACACACACATGCAATAAATAAGTGTAACAGTAAGACTGTGAAAAAGAACACGAAGGGGAGCATGTTATCATGGCAGGCAAACATCTAAGATGGTTCCATGAAGATTCCCATTGCAGGGTGTGCACACTTCGCAGATCTCTATGAGTTTGAGACCAGGCTGACTACATAGCTAGTTCTATGCCAGTGAGGTCCACACAGTCAGGTCGGTCTTACCTTCCTTTAGGTCAAACCCTATTGTAGGTGCTGTCATGCACACTTAGCTGACCTTACATTACTAAATGGGAAGTGGCGATACACACGAACCCAGCACGTAGGGAGCTGAGGGAGGACTGCAAGTTCAAGGCCAGTTGTGTTATATAATGAGTTCCAAGACGGCCATACAAATTTACTCAATTTTTTTCAGTAAGTGTTACTAACTACACGAGGTCTTCAGCGAGTTTTAATTCTGTCCCCCAGAAGGTGGACATGGGGTATGGAGAAAGTGATCAGACACACTGATAAGCAGTGAGGAGATCTTGGCTCTAGTTTTACTGTACAACAAGGACTGGCCTGAAACCAGGAATAAGGTGTGAGGGTTTCCCCAGGAGCTTGTAGGTGAACTTGTCTGGCCAACACAATGATTTCAGCCTTGGACAGAGAACACAACCACGCTGGGCCAGACATCCCAGCTCTAGAACTATGAGCTAATGAAGAGGTGTTATTCAGCAACTTAAAAAATGATGTAATTACTTAACTCTACCTGCTCATGGACAGTTTTCCTAATGGGGTCATTGTTTGAACTTTACATCTTGTTACATAGGGGAAGATTAGCCAAGGGGGTGGGAATTTTAAGAGCACAGGGTCTGGAAGGCAGCAATCTGTCCTGCAAGCCAAGGACCCTAAATAAGTAGTTGAAGAGATCACTGAAGAAGTAGACTGAGTCACGCCTTTCAGCCCATTCATGAGGACAACTAACCTCCACACATGGCTTCATCAATCTGACATGAACCCTGCTCTTCCCACCAGAGAATCTCAGCCAACAGGGTTTGGAGTCACAATCCAGGGCAATAGCCCTGAGAACTTCTACTCACTCTTTAGAGCCTGAGCCACCATGCTGAAGAGAGAACCAGGATGCGAGGCCACAGGGACAAGCACTCAGAGATGAGAGACACACACGTGCGATGGTCCTGACTGGGTGGAGCATGCACTAGGTCCAGAATGGACAACAGCAGGCCAACTTAGAATCTACTTTAATGACCCATGGAAGAGAAGTCACCTTTTACACTACAGTGTTGGCTAGAGAAGTGGAGAGAAAGAATTAGTATTCAGTGTATTTCGAGGGCAGAGCAGATCTCACTGAAGCTGGATGTGGGCAGGAGAAAAGGAGATGAGGCTCACACCCAAATCTGAAACTGCAGAACCATGGGAAAAGATTCGGAAATCAACAGAAACAACTACTCTAAAAAAAGTGATTTTTATGTAGGATGGCACAAATGAGTGTAAATGGAGACCTTTCTATGTAACTTGATAGACAATGGATGTGTTCTCCTGAGCTGACCCTAAGGAGACATGAGGACCCATGTCGGTATGGAATTCATCATGGTTACATATGCTGAATGTGGTGTAACACACTCGGACACTCTACTTCTGCCATTAAGGTATGGGCCTGTCTTATCCTCTCAGACATTTCACAAATGGAACTTGGTCAGCAGCTGATACCAGTGGATTTCCAAGACCGGCATGAAGGCAGCTGGCCACAGGGAAAAGCTGGCCCTGTAAGCAGCAAGCCTGGTGTGCAGAGCTGGAGTTTTCTAGTGCAGATGCCAATGCTCCCACACACAGTAGAGATGATGGAGAAGAACCTGCTGGGCACTGGCCATGGGGAGTTCAGGCTACTTTCCATGTAGGCTGTTTGCAACTTAGCAAAGGGAAACTCATCAAATGAGGAGTAAGACTTGGAGCACTTAGCAAACTGGTGGGCTTACAAGCTTAACCAAAAAAGCCACTTCTCATCCTGATCTCCAAAGCCCACCATATCATCATGATCTTTGTCATAAAAGGTAGAAACAGACTGGGGATGGAGCAGCCCAGAGCACTTGGGGCAGAGCTTTCTTAGCATGGATAAGGCCCTGGGTTTCACATATAAAACAGGCGCTGTGGCACAAGAGATCAGAAGTTTATGATCATCCTCTTTTTTATAGCAATTGAGGCCAACCTGAACTATATGAGATTGTACCTTATAAAACAAACCAATTCTTCCTCCTCCCCCCCGCACCAAGAGAATGATGGGTGCTAGAGCTGTCTTCTGGTTAAAGCTCAGAAGTTCAGGAACATACAGCCATCAAGCTGATGAAATGGCTATTTACCTTTGCACAGACCAGGCTTATCTGTAACCACAGGGAGCCACGCCTGCTGCAGCCACCATCAGGACTGGGGGAACCTGGGAATTTCCCCGTTGGAGACAAGCTTCAGTCAAGGCTTTCTTTTACTTTCAGTGATCAGACCCATTTGGTTACTAGAAATCAAGTGAGGTGGCAAACACTTGCGTATTGACAACCTGCTCTGGGAGACACGGGTAGCACCTACTTTGTAGTCACCACCCTTCACGGAGTGTTTCCTCGTGAAGAAGATGTGTCTGAGACCCACATTCACTTCAAATGGCACTATCCTAATCCTAACCCCATGCTATACTGGTTTAGTTAGAGCTACAGCCCTGGAATTAAAAGACTTACTAGCTTCCCCTTCTGTGTCTGTTCCCCCCATTTATAAAATGGGAGTAACACAAACAACCTCACTGGAATTTTATGTGAGAACAGCGGTAACAAGTTTGTTTATGGGAAGTATTTAGTAGCCCAGCCTGTACCCATGCTGAGGATCTAACCAAGTGCCTCCACACAGGCTTGGGCAAGCATTCTACCACTGAGGCCACACACTCAGCCTCAAATCAAATCTCATAAAATAAAATGCTGTTAGAACTGTTTGAAACTCACTCAGCCAACAGTCTTTGATGTACCAGCCCCTCAGGACGGAGTCTCAGGTGCTACATGAATGACTGGGGGGTGAGCCTGTGCTCTTGGGTGGTGGTCACATCTTTCAGTGCTCTGGGCAGATGACCTCAGTGCTTCTCTCCCTTACTCTGTTATCCATGAGTGACTCCCAAATAAATACCTGAAAGCCCTTTATGTGGGCTTTCATGGACTTTATTACAATAATCCATTACACCCCCCACTTTTGAAAACACATCTTCCTTTCTTAGTTTAGTTTTAGTAAATATACAAGTTTCTTAGTTTAGTTTTAGTAACTTTAATACACAAAGGGGGTATAGTATAACACTGAATGCATATAACAGTTAACTGTCCCAGATGCCAGCAGACAGACCAAGAGCAGACGAGCACAAGCCTCGCCAGCTCCCTGTGTGTCCCCCCCTGCAGCCAGTCACCTGCCATCCTAGAGAACACACTGCTTTCATTTCACTTTTGGGACAGGATCTTATTATGAGGCCCAGGCTAGCTTCAAATCTGTGGCACTCCTTTTGCCTCAGCCTCCAGACTGTTGGGATTACAGAAATGCCAACACACCTGGCTAAAATACATATTTGGAAATAATCTGCTTATGTAATTTATCACAGCATAAAAAGAAATTTTAAAAAACGAGAAAGCCCCACACAATGCTTAAGAAAAAAATTGACAAATGTTTAATAGCCATAAAATAAAAACCTTGCTGAGGGAATATTTATTTATTAATTATTTTGTGTTTGTTTATTTATTTATAAACAGGGTCTCACTATATAGCCCTGATTATCTTGAAATTCGCTCTGTAGACCAGGCTGTCCTCTAACTAAAAGAGATCTACCTGCTTCTGAGTGCTGGGATTAAAGGTGTGCACCACTATGCCTGGTGGGAATGTCTTTAAAATAAATAAATGGAGAGATATGTTACACATGATCATAAACTGGACTTAATACTGTTCATACTTTTTAGATTAATCTATAGGATCAATGCAATAGCAACCAAA